AAATGATATAGGTCGGAAACTCAAATCTAAGTAAGAAGAGATTAGAGAATGACTAAGTGAAGGTAAAATAAAAACTTTTATTTTTCATATTCTTAAAGTATCTAACAGAAAACAATTTGTTCAAAATAATAGCAACAATATATTCATATACATATATAGAGAATGAATGATAACAATGATACACAAGGGATTGAAGGATGAATTAGGAAAATTTTGTTATTTTAAGGTATATGCATTACTCATGGAGCAGTATGGTGTTATTTGAAAGTGAGCTTAGACAACTTGCAAATGAATTTTCTAAACTCTAGGAAAACTACTTAAAAATGTTAAAAAGAAAGTAAAATTGATATTCTAAGAAAGGAAAGATAATAGAATTATATAAAATGTTCAATTAAAACCACGGAAGGGAGAAAGAGTGGAAGAAAAAAATAGAAACAAAGAACAAGGGAAACAAATAGAAAACAGTAACAAATATGATAGTTATTAATTCAACTATATTAATAATTGCTTTAAATGACAATGGTCTAAATACACCAAATTAAGACAGAGACTGTCAGAGTGAATTGACAAACAGGACCTAATTATTTGTTGTCTACAAAAATTCACTTTAAATATAGGTTAAAAGTAAAGGGACAGAGAAAAATATACCATGTTAACACTAATCAAAAGAAAACAGAAGTTGCTATATTAATTTCAGACATAGCGGACTTCAGAGGAAGGGAAGTTATCAGGAAATAAAGAGGAGCATTACATAATGATAAAATGGTCTATAGTCCAAGAAGACATAATGATCATTAACATGAATGTTCTAACAGAAGAGTGTCAAAATATGTGAGGCAAAATTGATAGAACATAAGGAGAAACAGATGAATTCACTATTATAACTGGAGACTTTAATACCTCTCTACCAGAAATGAACAGTTCCAGCAAGCAGAAAATCAGTAAGGACATAGTTGAACTCAATACCATCAATCAACTGGACATAATTGACATCTACAGACTATTTTATTCAACAACAGCAGAATACACATTCTTCTCAAGCTCACGTGGAATATTCACCAAGACAGACTACATTCTGGGACATAAAATACACCTATAAAAAATAGATACTACACAATAGTCTGCTCTTAGGGTACAATGGAATTCAACTAGAAATCAAAAATATTTTGAACTAAATAAAAAATGAAAATACAGCTTATAAAAATTTGTGAGATACAGCAAAAGTAGTGTTTAGAGGAGAATTTATAGCATTGAATACATATTATGAAAGAACAAAGATCTAAAAATTAATAATCTAAGCTTCCACCTTAGGACACTAGAAAAAGAAGAGCAAGTTAAATCTAAAGTAAGCACCAGAAAATAAATAAAAATTAGAGCAGAAACCAATGCAATTAAAAACAGGAAATCAATAGAGAAAATAAACAAGACCAAAGTCATTTCTTTGAAACTATCAGTAGAATCAATAGGGCAATATAGCTAGATAAAGAAAAAAAGAAAGAAAACATAAATTATACTAATATTAAAAATGAAAGTGAGGAAATCACTATTGATCCCATGGATATTAAAAGAATAAAAAAGAAATGCTATAAGTAATTCTATGCCCACAAAGTTGATAACCTATATAAAATGGACCAATTCCTTGAAAGACACAATGTGCCAAAGGTCTCACAAGAACAGACGATCTGAAGAGGCTAATATCTATTTTAAAAATTGAATCAGTATAATAACCTTCCAAATAGAAAGCATCATGCCCAGATGGGTTTACTGGTAAATTCTACAAAATATTTAGGGAAGAAATTAGAGCAATTCTCTTCAAACTCTTCCAGAAGACAGAAGCAGAGGGAATACTTCCTAATTCATTCAATGAGGCCAGTATTATCCTAATTCCAAAACCAAATAAAGACATTTGAGGAGAACTACAGACCAATACTTCTCATGAACATAGATGCAAAATCCTCAACAAAATATTAGCAAATCAAATCCAACCATGTATAAAAAGAATTACATATCACAGCCAAATGAGATTTATCCCAGGTATACAAGGCTGGTTCAACAGTCAAAATCAACAGGCTAAAGAAGAAAAGTCACATGATCATATTAATAGATGCAGATAAAGCACTTGAAAAAAAATCCAACACCCATTCATGATAAAAACTCTAAGCAAACTAGAAATAGGGTGAAATTTCCTCAACTTGATAAAGAAAATCTACAAAAAAACTCCCTATAGTTAACATCATACTCAATGGTAAGAAACTCAAAGCTTTCCCACTAAGATCAGGAATAAGTCAAGGATGCTTCCCTTCACTACTCTTTCAATACTGTACTGTATTAAGCTGTATTAACTCCTAGCTAATGCAATAAGACAGGAAAAGAAAAGGAAAGTTACACAGTGGAAAAAATGAAATAAAACTGACTTTGTTCGCAGGGTACAAGGTTAATACATAAAAGTCAATCACTTTCCTATTTGCCAGTGATGAACAAGCAGAAATTGAGATTAAAAACACATTACCATTTACATTAACATACTCAAAAATGAAATAATTAGGCATAACTCTAACAAAATATGAACAAGATCTACATGAGGAAAACTAAAAATTCTGATGAACAAAATCAAAGAACTAAATAAATATAGATATATTCTATGTTCATGAATAGGTAAGCCTCAATACTGTCAAGATGTCCATTCTTCCCAACTTGAACTACAGATTCAATGCAGTAAAAATCAAAAGCCCCGTGATATGGGATGTTGATAGTAGTGGAGCTGGGTGTGGAAAGGGAGCATGTGGGAAATCTATACTTCTGCTTAATTTTGCTGAGAATCTAAAACTGCTCTAAAAAAAGTCTGTTTTTAAAAAAATAATTCTGAAAAAAAGTAGGAATAGTCACTCTAAAATTTATAGCACGTAAGAAAATATTAATCCTAAAAATAATACAAAATCCTAAAGCTGAATTATGAGGAGACTATTCAAAAATATAATTTTAATAAATATTTCTATATAAGAAAAAGCTTTCTATCCTCAGCTGAAAAATCACTCATGTGGCGTAATAGTTAATACAACAAAAACAGGACAACCAAATCATGTGGACAGGACTAAAATTTGTCAGAGTATGACTGTGTCTGTAGTTATATATCTTTTACTGACCCTACAGATTTCAACAAAGAGTTGCATCAAACATAATAGTATGCCAATTTTTGCAGGGTAGGAAGAATTGAGGCCAAAAAAATTAGTAGTACTTATTTCTAGGTTGGAAGAAATTCTGGGGTAAAGAAATCCTCCAAGTTTCTGCAATGAAATAAATGGGTTGCCTCTAAATTTTGCAAAATATCTGAATAATGACTAATTATCTCTCACAACCACTTTGAACACAGTAAAAAGCTGAATTCGTACTAGAATTCATTTTGGAAGCTAAGCAAATATAAGATTAAATTATCTATTCTGGAGATAGTGAAGAGTGCCTATGAAGTGAGTGAGATTGCTACAGCAAAGACTGAACTACTGAAGGCCTCTTCGCTCCCATTCATTTTGGCTACTTCAGAGAAAATGAAAGTCTTTAGGCATAAGGCTCTCAATAATTAGGCTGAATTACATCAAATTGTGCATGTAAAAATCACCAGACTTGTCACAAGAAAATGGTCTGTTGCTGCAAAACTGATGAGAAAGAACCCTTCTCCAGAGTCTCTTGACAGTCCAGCATGCCAAAGGACTCAGACATAAATACTTGGCATACAAAACAATGGCAAAGGCATAGTTCAATAACTTATGAAGAGTGGATCTCCTGCTAGTGTGAAATAGTTGCAATATAACTTTAAACAGTAAATGACTATATTACTTCAAAGTATCAATGTTTAAAAGAACTAAATATTTCAAAGTTTATTTTGGTTACACAGAGAAATGTATAGCTCATGCAAAGTATAAAACTGTATTCGTGACAACAAAATGAGTTCAACCTTTACTGCTGATAACGAAGACATTATATTTTTAACACAAGGAATAAAATTGCATTTATGGTAATAAATGTCTCCTTTCCCGGTCTCAGAGTAAACTGGAGTAGTGTTCTTGTCATTCGTTTACTACTCTTTTCAAACCTACTTATTTGCTTTAAAATCTAAATTTAGGTAGTTGGGTTAATACTTAAACTTTTTCTCAAATAAAATGTTTTCACATATAAGTTTTTAATTATTTTTAAATTAGTAATTAATAAGTTTAAAATACATTAAACTTTCCATAGGTAAAAAAAAAAAAAATTACTGTTACTTAAATTCAGTCAGCAGCAAAAGTCAGATCATCCTACAGAGTAATCTGTTTTAGAACTTAAAGTGTTAAAGTGAAAAAGGGCTTCATAAGATAGAAAATTATTATGATCACTAAGCAGTGATCATAAAAACATATTTATTGAAAAATCATCATTTTTATGTGATAATCGTTTTTAGTTTTAAAATTTTATATCTACTATAATCCTTATAATGAATTCATTTAAAAAGCTGTCTATAAACCATAATATTTATGATCCAAGAGAACTTTCTTTGAAAATGACCTAAAATATTCTCATTTGTTTCACCTAATTAAAAAGAAAGTTGAAGATTATCTTTTATCTCTGCTTTGAATTTATTTAAAAATAAAATTTTGAAAAATACTTTTTCTGAGATAATAGAGCGTATCCAAGTGAAAGTTTCACCCCAGGGATACATTTTTAAGCTGTGGCTTCTAATTTTTGAAATACATGCTTTGAAATACACGAGAGGACCTATGTAGATAATCTAAGAGCACAGAAGATGACAGAAGCGCTAATTAAAACCCCTGTATTTAAATAGAGTGGATGTGTATTAATCGAAAATAGTTTCAGAGAGTAAAATATATACTGTCAATCCATACAAAATTGATTTATCAGTGGACAAAGATGTGAAGAGAAAGATTTTTTAAACTGCAAACATATTTTGGAAAGCACACATCTGAATAAATCCGTATTTTGGGGTGACAAAAAGTTAAAAATTCATATACCCTCTTTTGATAGGTAGCACATTTCCAGTCTTTGCTCAGGAGAATATCCATAAAGTAGGTATGCTTCTTGTAGTGCACTTTTATACCACTTCTTTTTATTCTTACATTTTTCTGGCTAAAGAAACACAGAAAAATAATAGGATGCATTATAAATATATAATTTTGTTTTAACATTCATTTGATTTAGCTGTTGAGCTGGAACTAAATCTAATTTAAACATTGTACGATATATTACTTAGACTTTAGTATCTGATTATTAGTGCATTATTATTTTAGAATTTAGCAAAGTTGTAGTAATTTTGCATATCAATAGCCATAGGGTCAGATTCTTGACTCACTAAGATAATATTTTAATATGATTCATATCATACTTATAAAGTTATAAAAAGTTAAGACTACTAATGTAACAAAGTAGTCAATATTAATACATTAGAATAATGCTGAGTCCCTTTTTAGTAACATAGCGATGATACTGAAGTAGTAGAAATTGAAAAGCCAAGTTTCTAATTGTAAGGAAAGAAATTCAAATCACATCTAATTTTGGTGTTATGGCTGACAGTCAAAATATTCATACAAGTTCCTTAAACTTTCCGTGTCTCAATTTCTTTATCTGTGCAATGTAGATAGGAGTACAAACCCCTAAAGGTTTCATGAGTCTAAATGAAATAACAGATGACAGTTTTCTGGAATAGAAAGAAAGCACTCAATAAATGTTATTCTGCTTGAATATAGCACTTTCTCTAAATGCTTAAGTTTTTTAAAGAATATATTTTGAAAAAGAAAATCAGAATCAAAGAACCTTTAGATTAAAAATGGCTATAAAAATTATCTAGACCAATGTCATTTCAGAACTTGCTCAAAAAAGGTTTTAATAATATTTTTAAATGGTACGATTTATAAATGCATGCCACTATTTTCTTTTTTCAAAAAGTTTACTATCAAAAAGAATAGAGGTGCTTATTCTACAATTTACGCTTACCACTTGCATATGATGATCATATCTTTATCTCAGATATATAATTTGCCCTTTACCCAGAAATGTAAATCTATATAACACCAATATTCAATTCATTCAGGGAATGAAACTATATATTTAAAGCTCTTCTCCAATACCACCTTATTCTTGGAATCCCCAAATTAATATGAACTATCTGGTTCCCATTACACTTTATATTTTAATTTAATTATTTACTATATTCTGACTTGTATTATAGTTATTTGCATTCATGACTGTCTCCACCCATAAAATGAAAGGTCCCTGAAGACAGAGGCAATAAATAATATTTCATTTTTGTATCCTTCGCAGTATCCATTTGCCTAATCTCTGCATATTATATTAGCATTGAGAACATGGTTGTTAAATTGCATGTGGTCCTGGACATTGATTTATTTTGGTATGAAAGCAGTGAAACAAAATAATCAAATAAATCTACTTTTATATACAGAATCTTTAAATTCCATTCATTAAGCGATTTCCTAGGGAAAAAGACAAAAAGATAGGCAGACACAATTCAATAAACATTAGAAAATTTACCCGAATATAAGGATATCTAATCTAGAAAGCATTTGCAGATTTAAGCCATTTCTGCAACTCAAATGCTATAATGATGCTAAGAATTACAGATAGTGAATAATCACCTGAAAGCTGATATAGCCCTAAACAACTGAAGTTAAGAAAATTTTTTAGAAAAAAAAAATGCAATATATAGCTAAAGTAAACTTTGGTGAGTTTGGGAACTGAAGAGCTTTTTTAAAAAACCTGTGTCTGAGGGTCTTTAAGAATCTATCGGTAAGTATGTGCCACCTAGTGGTAAGACATTAAATATCTAAGAAACTCAAAAAGTTAAGACTCTAGAAAAGAATTTTGAATTCCAGATTTAAGCTCAGCTGTGCATTGCATTTTTCAACTAGTTTGTTTTTTAATTGAAGAAGTGATAGGTGTACATTCTCAAAGTATAGAATATGCCTCCCTACCCAACCCTGGTACTGTTTCCCCCAAAAGACACCATTATTACCTGTTTCTTTCACAGTCTTCTAGCAATATTGTATCCATCCACAAGCATTTACATCATTTATATAAATATATTTATTTTTAAAGGATGTTATGAATATACACTTTGAGTTTTTCAATTTGTCTTGAAGATTGCTTTATTTATTTATTTATTTACTGATTCAACATATTCTAGACCCTCAAGATCTATCATTGAAGAAAACAGACAAAGCTTACATTCTAGCCAGTGAAACAGACAATCTACAATAAGCATAACAAATAAGGCCACAGCATGTTCTAAGAGGTCATAAGTACTGTGTAATAAAGAAGATGTAAGAAATAAAGTGGTCAGGGTAAATCTCATTAAAAAGTTTACATATGAGCAAAGACTGAAGGAAGTCAGCGAGTTAGCCTTGCAGATATACAAGGAAAGAGCATTTTGGGAAAAGAAAAATGCTATATGGTAGGAGAATACAAGTATATTCAAGAAGCATCAAAGAAGCCAAGATGCCTGAGGCTGAATGAGGAAGAAGGAAAGTAACAGAGAATGATGTCAGAAAATTGACAGGGACCAGATCTTGGAGGTCCTTTCAGGCCATTCGAGGGACTTTGGCTTTTACTCTGAGTACAATGGGGGAACCACTGCAGAGTTCTGAGCAGAAGAGTAATATCTGATTTAATTTCATATTTTAAAATAATCATTCTGGTTGCTTTGACGAGAACAGATTATACAGAGACAAGTGTAGATGTAGGACGATGAGCTATTGCAATAATCCAGGCAAGAAATGATTGTTGTTGCAGACCAGGGTAGTAGCATCCACTGTGGTGAAAAGTGGTAGGTTTCTGAATATAATTTGAAAGTAGAGCAAAAAGAATTTCCTGACCAAGTGAAAATTGGTTGTGAAGAAAAGAGATGATGGCTCTAAGGCTTTTGGACTGAGCAAATACAAGGCTGGAATTTGCCATCTACTGAGATAGGAAAGGCTGTCAAGGAAGTGATATTTGAGGGAAAGATATGTTGTCAATAATATTGTAATAACTATGCATTGTGCGAGGTGGGTATTAGACTCATTGGGATATCATTTCTTGTTATATAAATGTCTAACCACTATTCTGTATACCCGAAACTAATATTCAATGTCAACTGTAATTAAAAAAAAAAAAGAAAAAAAGTAATTCAGATATGTTGAGTATCAGATGTCTATTATGACATCCAAGTGGAGATTCTGAGTCACAGTTTGGTAAGGGATTCAGGGGAGAGAACTGAACTGCAGATAAAACTTAGGAATCATGAATATGCACAGTATTTAAATCCAAGGAGCTGGATGAGAGAATCAAGGGAATATTTATCACGTATTTATTTGACAAATGCCCTAATGACGGACATTTAGGTTGTTTATAATATGTAATTTGAAACTGCTGCAGTAAAAAATTTTTGTCATTTTGTCCATGTGAAAGTGTACTGAAGAATAAATTCCAGACATTAAATTACCAGATATAATGTATGTATATTTTAAATTTTGGAAGTTACTGTAAAATCATTACTGAATGAGGTAGTCACAGTTTACAATGCCACAAACAATGTGTTTCTTTGCACCCTGGGTAACACTTCTGTTACCAAACTTTTAGATTTCTGAATATTTTTAAGAGAAAAATGGTATTTCTTTTTAAGTATCATTTCTACTTCTTGAGTTCAGTAATTGTGAGTAGTTTTTCATATTTTTCCAGCTTTATTGAGATACAACTGACATATAACATTGTTTAAATTTAAAGAGTACAACATAATGATTTGATACACATATATATTGAGAAATAATTACCTCAATAAGGTTAGTTAGCACTTCCATCAACCTTAGTTAGCATTTCATCACTAACCTTTGCGTGTGTGTGTGTGTGTGTGTGTGTGTGTGTGTGGTGAGAACATTTAAGACCTACTCTCTTAGGAACTTTCAAGTACATATCACAATATTGTTAACTATAGTCACCACGCTGTACATTAGATCCCCAGAACTTATTCATCATATTTTCATATTTTTAAAAGCCATTTATATTTTTTCTTTGGAATTATTATTCAAGTCCTATGTTAATATTGCTATTGGTCTTTTTCCTATTGATGTATAAGAAATTTTTATATATTGAGAAAGTAGTCTTTTGCTATATGTCATAAAAATCATTTCCTGTTTATAGTTTATCTTTTAGCATATTTATATTTTCTTTTCTGTTCATTTAAATCTTTCATCCTTCTAGAATTAATTTGGATGTGCAGTATGAGTCACAGCTTCCACCTCACTTTTTTCAAAGTAGCTAGCCATTTGTACCCATACAATTTATTAAATAATACAACTTTTCTTTAAGCATTTGAATACAACCTTAATCACTAACTATATTTCCAAGTACGTTTGAGTCTAATTTCGAATCTTACATTGTTCTATTATTCTGTGAAATCATTGTTAATACCAAACTGCTTTAACTAATGGAGCTTTATTGTAATTTTATATTTTATAGGCCGAAATCCATTTTCTATGTTTAATTTTCCTAAAAATTGTATTATTTTAAATCCTATTTAAAAATCAAGAATGCATTAAAATAAAAAAAGTTAATTTAGAAAGAAATAGCATTTTTCTATGAAATCTTCCAAACTAAGAAGTGTTTTATATCTTTCCATTTATTTACATTTTATTTTCTGTCTCTTAGTATCATTGTAAATTTTATTAATATAGATTTTGCACATGCTTCTTAAGCTTACTCCAGTATAATATATATGGTTTGTTGCTATTATAATTGGGAACTTTTATCCTTTTATATTTCCACACCGGGTACCTCTGTATAGTAATTTTATAACTGCAGCATAACTGAATTTCTTATTGTTCAGTTTTCTATTCTTTATAATAGTTTTATTTATAATAGTTTTTCCATTTGAGTTCTATGGGTTTTCCAGGTAAATAATCAGCTATTAATAATAATTTTGCTTTTTCCTTTCCTATATGTGTACTTTTGCTTCTTTCTCTGGCTATTTATATTAACCAATTCTGCCAGGACAATTAAATAATAGTAGTAGTTCCACAGACTTTTTTAAAAAACCTACAATTTCCTACCTTAACAATAAATTTCTTTTCTGATTAAAA